AAGTTATGGCCATTGCAGCACCCCTGTGGTCATGTGATCAAAATTCAGGCACTTGGTAGCCTGCCTGCACTTACGACCACAGGGGCATTTCAATTCCCCCCATCCCCTATCTCCTCCCCACCCATGCCCTTTTGGTCCCCTGCACCCTGCGTTGTGCGGTGGCAAGCAGCCTCAAAACTGCGTGGCTCTGCGGTTGCAAGAAGCGCCTGAACCACAGCACAGTGTGAAGCCACAGCCACCCCTGGAAGTCTCAGCCACCCCAGCCTATCCCAGCAAAAGTCAGCAAGCTGCAGCAGCCAGGAAGCATCAGCAAATATTCATTCACCCAGCTGCCTTCTCTCCCAGTTCCCTGCACCAGCCTTTTGCCTTTTGCACCCAGCTGGAGGTGAGGTAGGTGGGCGAGGGGAGTTGAAGGCAGTTGCTTACTTGACTGAGGCTTGGGGCTGGGAGGGAGCAAGCCTGGGATGGCTTGGATTGGGGTGGGTGCTCGGTTAAAGACTGGTAAAATTTGCTTAACGATGGCAAGGGGAATTGCTGGGATTGCCGTCGCTAAGTGAAGCAGTCGTGACATCTCGCTTAACAACTGCATCACTTAGCGACCTAAATTCCGGTCCCAATTGTGGTTGTTAAGCGAGGACTACCTGTAGGCCTCCCTGCTTATCCTGGGGGAATGGGCCACTAGGTGGCAGCAAAGAGATTTCCAAGTGCTTAAGAGACATTAACTGGCCACAACTCAGTAAGGTAGGCCACAATTATTCCCCTGCTGCAGATAAGGAGCTTTGGCTGGGAGAGAAAGCAGGAGTTTTAGGACAGATTCAGCCTTTGACTACTTAATTCGTAGCTGGTACCAGGTCTTGGTTATTATGACCATCCAATTCTGACTCAACATGAGTCTCTTGGAATGACACTCGGCTCCTTCTGCTTGCACCGCAGATGTCCCGGATGTACACTATTCCGTTGTATGAGGACCTCTGCACCGGCACCCTCAAGTCCTTTGCCTTAGAAGTTTTTTTCCAGACCCAGAACCAGCTCCACCCAAATCTGCGGAAGACCATTCATCAGATCTTGACCCAGGGCTTGAACCCGCCACTCCTTGCCACGGACGCAGCTGCTGTCACGGTGGACCCTCCAGCTGCTGAGCTCGAGGACAGAGGAGCTGCGCACGGTGCTGTTTCTCTCAGGGACGTCAATGTGTCTGCATAGCTCTCCAGCTCATGCCAGGCCTTGGAAGCTGGAGGGGCCAGCAAGAACGCTGACCTAGTACTGCCCTCTTGCCCTTTGTGCCACTGCTGGGGGGCTGGATTTTTTAAATTCCTCCCCACGTGTACATTGAGAGTCCTATGTGCCTTCAGGTGCCTGACCCCCGAGGCACAGCGAGATATCAGGGATGTACCTTTTTCTAACTCTAAGCAGCGACTGGTATCAGGTGGCTCTTTTGCCTTGATGCATCATGAATGTGAACTCCAGGTTGATTTTTGTTTCTGCCAACAAAGAGCGTTTCCAGCACTTGACAGGCGTTTTGTTTGTCGCCCTCCAAGCCTTGAAGGAGACAGAATCATCACTGGCCACATGCTGTCCACGCACTAAGAAAAGAAAAATTTATCAGGATCATGGTGATTTGAAGGCGGGGCAGTGCTCTGCAAAGCACTCTGTCTTCTCTCATTCATTGTGTGTGTATATGTACACACACACACATGAATGGGATTCATTCATATATATATATGAATGAAACTGTTTAAAGGAACGTGGGAATCTGTTCTGTTTTATGCTCTGCTTGTGACTCATGAAACTGTTGAAAGTAATGTGGGAATCTGTTCCATTTGACGCTCTGCTTGTGATTCAGAGTCCTGAAGAATGAAAGATTTCTTCCAGGCAATGCCTAGATTTCAGGAAAATGGTGAAAATGGTTAGGGGTCAGCTATTAAGAGATTTGGGTGGGGGTTGACAAGCTGAGGGTGAATGCACAGCAGGCTTTATAGAGAAGCTTCATCCGAAGCAAAGGATGGGGCGGAAGAAGAAACCTTAGGGGTGTGGGGTAGGAACGTGGGTGTGTTAAAATTGCTTTGCTTTCTTCGGAGACCAGCATGCCCCAAGGGTTACGGTGTACTAGGCACCCTCTGCTAAGCAGGGGTGGGAAGGCCTTTCAAGATTGTGCCACTGAAGTCAGTGGCCAGTCACCAAATGCAACAGTGCAATGTTCTGTTTAATTTTCCTTCCAAAAAAGTAAAATAGGAATGTTAAATCTTTGCAAAAAAAAAAAAAAGGTGTCCTGACTCTGCTGTAGACATACTGACTTGTCCTCCATCCTTGAGACTGCACCTTTGGAGGGTGCCGCTGGTGGCTTCCTTTGCCCGTGTTCCCTGCACACGAGCTCACACCCTTTTCACGTGTTTTACCAAAGCAACTCTGGGATTTCTTTCTGCACATACCTCCCTTGTTCAAGAGTAATATTTATTCTCTGTCCTGGAAAAGACGGGCAGAGGAACCCCTGGATACCACTCTGTGTCCAGCTCTGGCAGGGAGGATGCCTGTCTGCCGCCACCTGCCTTGTGAAAACTAGTTCCAGATCCACAGAGGTGCTTAAATTGTCTGTTTCCTCTTCCTTTGCTCTGTTTCCCTTGAAATGTATTTTCACCTGGGGTGACTCTTGGCTTCAGACAAAAGGAGGAAAAGCAATAATGAAGTTGGACTCCAAAGTCGCTTCAGTCGGGTTGGGATAATTTGGCTTTTTGGCTCTGGGATTCCTCCTTTATTTGGAAACGTGCAGGGCTGGCATCTCCCCAGACATACGTTCCACTTCTAAAGTGCTTGGTTTGCAGCCCTTTTGACACCTGTTCCAGTCTGGCAGAGACCACAACCACTACACCTTCCTGCCATCCTAAGCTCTGTTATCCTGCATTTTTATTTTTTCCAGGAGAATGTATGCAACCCAGGGGGAAATTCCTTGGAGATGTACATGGATGCCTTACAATAACATCACTTATAAATGTTGAATTAAACTAAACTTTGTGACTTTCGGAGTTTTGTGGTTGTCTCCCCCAGCTATTTACAGTATCATAAGGATATTAGAATGTGGGTGCAAGAGATGCAGAACTTTGCTAAAGACAGACTCCAGACAGTTGAGCTGCTACAACAGAGCACATAGAAAGGGTGGGGCTCTAACTGTGTGGCAGCCATCTGGACTTTTTTGACCCGTGTGGACATCCCTGACTCCATGCTTGAAAACTCATTGCATGACACCTTTTTCCAACCATTATTTTAAAGCTACATTTTAAAAAGGTTTTGTTTCACTTGGCAATACAATATGCAATGCACATCAGTTGAGGTGTGAAAGTGGTGTATCCCCACCTTTCTGCCCTAGAGACTTGGAGCATCTTCATGGTAGTACCCAACCCCTGTTGAAGGTAAAGCTTTGTCCTCCTTATTGTTATGTTGGCACAAGTGTTGGGTGACTCCAGATGAGGCAATAAATCGCTACAGCAGAAATGTAGCACCTGTAAATAAACACATTCCCTGAAAATCCAACTTCTAAGGGAATTAAGCCTTAGTTAAAAGCTTGGACCTCTGTAAAGTGGGGTGCCCGTGTATGCGTGCTCCTGAAAAGGCAAGGGAGAGCAGAGGGAAGCGCATTTAGCCATGGAGGGCTGTGCGGCTGGTTACACACGCATGCATGTAGCTGCCCAAATACTACGATGCCTTTGAACAAGTCGGTATTACTAACACGGCTTTCTCAAACTTGACAACTTTAAACTCTGTGGACTTCAATTCATGGCTGGCTGGGGAATTCTGGGAATTGAAGTCCACACATCTTAAAAGTTGCCAAGTTTGAGAAACACTGCTGTAGAAGTATTATTGCAGAAAACGGAACCTTACCAGTAAAGAGAAATGCTGGAGAAATCAACTTCAAAGGCTCCAATTACACGTTAGGCTTTTTAACCAGAAGCCTTCCAGCTAAGGCTAACTTCATCCCTGAAAGAACAGCCTGCAGTCCCAAATGCAAGTTCCTTTTGGCTGCAGTGACCATCTTTTCTTGGAAAAAAATAGGAGGACAAACCTGAAAACGGCAAATCTGAAAGAGGTCCATAAGGAAAAAATAATAATAATGGCTTACGTTTATAACTTCAAGGAAAATTCAAGCGCAAAACCCAGAAAATAATACCAGTCGTGATTGGAGCCCTTGGAGCAATACCTAAAGGACTCTCGATATTTGGAAATTTTGAATTTATCGGACCTGACCGTCCTAATTTCAGAAAACAATACCCTGCTTGGAACTGCCTGTATCCTCAGACGCTGCCTTAGTCGTTTAGGTGCTTGGTTAGGACTTGAATTATTAAGTTTCCACCCGTCTTTGGCTGTGAACCGAATTGTAGATTAGCCGAATAAGGATGATGATGATGATGGCTTATGTTTATCACCTTGCTTCACCAAGGAAAATTCAAGAGCAAAACCAGGGAAATAATTAAATAAATCTAATGCACAGCTCTCTGGGAAAAAAGCCCCGTCCTTCATGATGAGGGATGGACGGTCGCTGGACTCCGGGGAGAGCCTCCCGGTCCTCCGTTTGGCTGCCTCCTGAACTGCGGAGCGCCGTTTTCGGGGAGTCCCTCCTACCCCCCCCCCGCCTACTGCCCCAGCCAAGGCTGCCGGCAACGGCTCGGCGGGGCAGAAGACTCGTCCCGGCTTCGGGGGCAGCTGAGGGGAGCCACCGCGCGCCCCAAAAGGGGCGGGGCCGCAGTTGAGGCGCCGAGGCTCCCGCGCCTGCGCTCTGCGCCCTGCGCCCGAACTGAGCCTCGGCGAGGCAAGCGGAGCTCAGTCTTCCAGCCCGTTCCGTCGTGGGCGGGCGGGGGAGCGGGAGGAGGGTTCCAAAGGGCTGCCGGGACATGTTGTTCTTTTCCTCCGGCGAAGGATGCCGGGGAGCTGGGCGGCTCCTTGCTCCCGCTGCATGCTGGGAACGGTAGTTTTCTCTTCTCCAAAGGTGGTGCCTCGGACAGATGCGCGTCCGGTGTTTTAATTCGGCGGCGGCGGCGGCGGCGGCGGCATCCGGAGGCTTTGCCGCGGGGCTCGCGCGGATCGGGCCGTCTTCGGGGCTGGCTGGAGAGAGGAGACCCCCTGCCGCGATCTTGGGGGAAGGTGGGGAAGGGGAAGGGAGGGCCGGCCGGCCGGCAAGGCGTGGGGATGGGCAGCGGGCAGCGAGCTTTGTCTGCCCGGGCAGCTGGCGAGGAGGGAGGGGGCGTGGGGGAAGGGAGCGTTCGGCACAGCCGGGCAGGGGTTGGATGAGTCGAATGGGCTCCCGGGGCTCCAGAAGCCGCGGGAGATGCGGGTCCCTAAGAGAGCCTCCTTGCCCAGGAGCAGTGTATCTCTGTGGAGCGTCGGG